GAGAGAGAGAGAGAGAGAGAGAGAGAGAGAGACCCAATAAATCTCCAACCTCGTGGCTCGCGTCATGCTACTTCCATCGATAGGATAGCAAAATCGGAATGAATCGTTCGTGTGTGTGTGTGTGCCGGCCGGCGTCAAACCAATGCCGTGCGCACGGCGAAACAACGCGCGACGTGGCCGCCCGCGGGACGCTGGCTGAACGCGCCAAAACAACACGCGCCGCGAGACCCCGCCCGAATGGGACCGCCTCCAAAGCGCCTCGCGCCGCGACACCCCGCCCGAATGGGACTGCCTCGAACTTGCCTGCGCTGCGGGGCTGCCTCCTCGCCTCGTTCCCGTCGTGCAGTTCCCGCTGGGCCCGGCGTCTACCGTTACGGTGGGCCCGTTGCAGTTTTTATAAGGTATAGAGAAGTTTGAAAAAATAATAATTTTTTGCATGCCCCGAAATAAAGGAAAAACAAAAAGTGAAAAGAGAGAAAAAACAAATTAGTGAGTGGGCAAGCAAGTTTTGACACCACCATCTTTGCCGGTTTTTCATATTTGTTTGGCTGAACAGAATGGCTTCAAACTTAAGAGGGAGATACGTTACATCACAAAGAACGCACACAAAAACTTTCAGAAACAAATAGTAATATTTAGGTGCCAAAATATTTTTTTGCGGGATCCGAACCCCTTCAGGTTCGGGGGTCAGCTTAGGGGCCTCTGTACGTTCGGCCTGGCAACCCTGCATACATACATACATACATACAATCATGCATACATACATACATATACACACATACATCCATACATCCATACATACATACATACATACATACAATCATGCATGTAGACATAGTACCTACGTACATCTGTAGATTGTGTGCATAAACAGCCATTTTGTTAAAATTGAGATTTTATATATTTTTGCATGATATTGAATAATGAACCCTGATTATTTGGCCGTAAACATTTCACGAAATTTCCGCCTAAGGGGCCGGCGTTTTCAGAACTCCGGACCCTATCTGGACTGAGTTGCGAATCCATGTACATCCAAGGGGGTCAAGCATTCTGAAAACGCTGGACCCTCAGGAGAAAAAATTGGTGAATTTTTTTGGGCCAAATAAGTAGTCAAAAAATCATGGTAGCCGCCCGGACGTCCGGACCGGGTTCCAGACACTCCGGTGTCCAGTGTCTGGTGTCCGGTGTCTGGACAATATGTCTGGATTGAGGCCTCTGGGGCAAAAATCAAAACAAAAATTGGGGCGGCCCAGGACGTTTATCGGGTCCTGGCCGCCCCTAGAAAAATAATGGGTTGATTTTTCAATGTCGTTTCACCCCACCGGACAGGGCCTAGAGGTCTTGACACAAGACACTGCAGGTTTTTGGGGTGGCGGGTTTCGCACAGGCCCGAGCAATTTCAAAGCGGC